CCCCCCCCCCCTCAATTTTGTTCAAGGGCCATCAGCAAAGTAGACACACTTTTCCTGCATAGTTGACGATTTCTTGTTTTCAGTAAGTGATGAAAAATTTAAGGATGAAATAACGCATGCTTTTTGACTCAAAAAGTTCTGAGATTTTGTAAGGAATCATTTCAATGCTCTCTTTTTTCATCCCGTCGTCTTGAACGCGTTAAAATCAAGATTTTCAAGGAGTATGCCAGCACCCCTCTCGGGCTCACTCTTCCGCGTTGATCTGTAAGCCCTAATTGTATACTGCACCTCCAGCAATTCTGCTCTTCAAAAATTATTTGTTTCAGTGAAGAAATCGTTTCATACACCCACCACTAACACTGACATTAGTGCTCCCTTTAAACGACGGTGAACTTTAATATTTCACATTTTCGCACACGGTAAGCTTTACGAAACTATGTACTTGCGCCATAAACGTCCTGCGCGAGTTTCCGCGAGTGCTTACCAGTGGATTGGATTCCAGACTCCTTGCAGTTCGGGAAGAAGTTCAACCAGTTCCAGTCCTCATGATGGGCATCTGTACCCGTGACCTTAGAGACAGGCGAAAGACTCTAAAGATCGAGGGAGACACACTTTGCAGAATCCATGCAAATCTTTTAGAAAGGTAATCAGGCTTTGTTTGACGGTTGTGACGAAATTCGAGAATGCTCTTCGGATTCATACACTGATTTTCGCATTTATCAGCGCGTCAGATCGAGTGATGTTGACGGCATATACTTCTAACCTCTTGCATGGTGGTCTGTTTCCTCAGGTTTATACCGATGCACCACCCTTCTGGTCTTCGTCATTCGAGTCCCTCCATAGTCTCCTAAGGGCAAATGTTTCCATAAGGACCATAAGCTTACGTTACGATACAATACAATTTGTTTGTTTCCTCCATGTGGGTTTTTCCGAACCAATTGTCATAACAATTTGCTTACAGCAATTCAACTGTAGCACTGATAGGTATATAATGCATGATGAATAAGAGCGATTCCATGGTCTTTCAAAATTATGCAAGCCTAGGGTAACTTTTGCTTCGAATTAATGTCACGGTAGAGAATAGGTACTTCTGTGTGTGGGGTGGTGGGG